AAAAAAAAAAAAAAAAAAACAGATGACTCTTACCAAAGTCTGTTTCTTCAACAGTGGAGCATCCCCATCAAACACAAATATAGGACGAATTCGAAAAAATAAGAGTTTGCAGAGCCGATGAAACAAAGTGAGAAGATGAGCATTTTCTATCGAGTTCCCATGGCGATCCCGGACTCCTCTTAGTGCCTGGTTCAACCAAATGCTAATATCTGGTAGAATTGTTAAAGGAAAGATTTTGGACTGTCTTCCCTCACCCCCACAATTTCAACTTCCCAATAACCGATATCATCTAAACATTGAAACTAAGCACTCATCACAATTCATTTGAAATTGGAGAATGTTTAGCCCTGATGGAATCTACCTAAAATCAGTTAATTTTATTTGAACCCTTACTACTGTTCACATACTGAATTTTAAAATCTTACATCAATAGATGTGTCCTTTTAGAAAATCTAATTGCAAATAATTGCTTCTTTAAAGAAAACTAATAATCTCTACAGAATTTTCATAAATTAGCACAACTCTTTTGGAGAACAATTTGGCAATTCATAGCAAAAAAATGTAAAAACTTGCATTCTATTTTACTACTTCTTCCAGACATTAGTCCTCAGAAAATCATCATAGACTTACAATAAGAGTTACTTTCATGAATGTTTACAGTAATGAAAACATGAAAAACAATGTAAAAGGTTTCCAACAGATCTTTAAACTAAATTATGATATACTGATTTGCTGAAATACCAAAGAGCCCTCAAAACTGGAAGCTACAGAAGCATATATAGTGATAAGAAAGACAATCACAAAATATTAAAGGAGACAGAACAGGTCACAAAACTCCGGAATGCATAATTACATTTTATAATATACAGGATACGTTAAATATAAAAAAACTAGAAGTTCAGGCACCAAAATATTAACAATAGTTATCTCTTTTGCAATTACAAATAACTTACATCTTCTTGGAGTTTGCTTATATTTAACCTTTGTAAAAACTGCTTCTTACCAAATTACTTCCTACGTGTCCGCACGACAGAGGGATGCAGCACGGCGGGTCCTCCCCTCCCCATCTCCTTGCCAGCTCCTCTAATTCTCCACTCAAGCCTGGCTTCAGCAGTGCTCTCCCTCAGGCCCTCTCCCCTCCTCCTGCTGCACAGGCTGCCTAGGCCACCTCAGCACCCCCACACCACACCCTCTCCCTATGTGAGCTCTGTCCTGACCCTCAGACTAGATGGCCTAGATGACACCTCTACCTGATGCCTCACAGATGTTCCCAACTTCACATGATCAAAACTAGACACACGTCTTTTCTACCAGGCTGCTTACGTCCCCATTACAGTGAAACCTGTTCACTGGAGTCAGATCACTGAATGTCATCCCCTACACTCCCCTCATCCAAACACTACCAGATCCTATCAATTCCACCTTTCAGCCCGTCTTGAAGGTAGACTCTTCCTGCCTCCAGGGTCTTCTCACATGCCCCTTCTTCTGCCGGAGTTTCTCTCTCTTAGCCTAGTTATCTCCAACTCATAGGTCCCGGTCTATGCATCACTTCCTCAGCCCAGACAAAGACCTCCACTTATGTGCTCCTATTCAAAACGTATTGCTTATTATGTGGCAGAAAACCCACTGAGGATATAGCACTGAACAAAACAAGGGGTTTGCCCTTGTAGAGTTGACAATGTAGTGGAGGGAAAAACCAAACCATGGGCTCCATGCCTTGTCTAGACCATGTTTTTGTGCACTGCTCCCCTTTCACAGGACATATAGGAGTCAACAAATACTTGCTATTAAATGAGCTGAACAGTCAAGTATTTAAATGAATGTATATTACCTAATTTATAACTGTAAAACAAATTAGGCCAATCAACAATTAACTTAATAAATACTATGAAAAAAATAGTGGAAAGCAAGCTATTATTATATTCATTCCTATATTTGAGTGCTACTATGTGCCAGGCTTATCTAAGATCCCAAGATCTTGAGATAGAACAGTAAACATAGCCCTGAACAAAACAGATATGGTATCCATCTCCAAGAAATTTGCACTCCAATGGGGAAGATGAACAATAAAATAGAAGAAAAATGAATAGATACATATTATATATTATAGATATACTATAATACATATAGATAGAATACAAAAAAAGCAAATAGAGCAGAGTAAAAGGACAAGGGGAGCGGGGATCAGTAGCTCTTTACTTAGGGAAAGCCTATGTGAAGAAATAGTGGAGTCCTGAATGAACAAGAGGAACAGTGAGATAAGAGGGACAGCAAATGTGAATGCCCTAAGAGAGAAGCATGCTTCCACTGAAGGACAATGTGGCAAGGTCTGAGCCAAAGGAGCAACAGAGTTGATGTGCATGTGCAGCCACCGGAATGTGACTTAAAGATCACCCCAGTGGACGAGTGAGGAATAAACTAATTATAACATCCCTAGTAAAAGCACACAGCAATGGCGGAGACAAGAAGTGGCAGGATAAAGGATCTACCTTGGAAGTAGGATTTGGTGTTGACTTAGTTCTATACTGTATTGGATAAAATATTTCTGCCTGGCTTGTTTCTGGTTGCTACACTGTTGGACAGTATTAAGTTTCTACTTAAACCATTATTTTGAATGTTATGATCAATGAGAAAACCTAATTTCAGATCAGTGGCTCTCAACTCTGGATATGGCTCTCAACTCTTCAAACTGGATAGGAAACTTTTAATTCATAGATTACTGAACATAGATATGCCTAAAATTCTAAATCAAAGATGCTGAGATGAGTTTGTTTGTTTTTTTTAATTAATCTTAAGTGGTCTCAGCTAGGGTTGAAAGCTCCAGCTTGAAATTACTTTTTAAAATTATATAAAATAAGGCATTCTGAAAATATTTGCATATTTTGACTTGCCTAATTTCAATAAGTTTATTTTAAAAAAAAGGAGCATTAAATTCATCCCGGGCTGGAAAAAAGTTAAATCCACAGCAAAGCCAGAATCACTTCATAGGTAAGACCCAAACGACCAAAAACATTTTGAAACAAAAGATAAATTACTTTAGTTCTATTGTTAGGTGATTTAAAATTTAATCTCCATTAGTATGTATAGCCTAAAGAGAGTATAATATTTTGCTAACAGAGTTAAATGCAGTTTACAAATGTTAAGGTCCACAAGAGTCAAAAGTTAAACCGTTAATTATTATTGGATGCATTTAGATTATATAAATAAACAAGGCACTCATCCACAGATGGTTAAAAAAATGTATTTTAAGGATCCAAGAGTAAATTATGAACATAATGTGTCATGGAAAATTTCTTCATTAACATAGAAGACATAAATATTGGAATATAGGTCAGATATTTGAATTCGAATTCCCATGAAAATGTTACAAAGCTGGAAAGAGCCCAACTGTCCATCGATGGATGAATGGATAAAGAAGATGTGGTGTATATATATACAATGGAGTATTACTCAGCAATCAAAAAGAATGAAATCTTGCCATTTGCAACTGCATGGATGAAACTAGAGGGTATTAATGCAAGCGAAATTAGTCAGAGAAAGACAAAAATCATATGACTTCACTCATATGAGGACTTTAAGATATAAAACAGATGAACATAAGGAAAGGGAAGCAAAGATAATATAAAAACAGGGAGGGGTACAAAACATAAGAGACTCTTAAATATGGAGAACAAACAGAGGGTTACTGGAGGGGATGTGGGAGGGGGGGTGGGCTAAATGGGTAAAGGGCAACAAGGAATCTACCCCTGAAATCATTGTTGCACTATATGCTAACTAACTTGAATGCAAATTAAAAAATAAATAAATAAATAAATAAATAAAAAGAAAATGAAACAAAGCAAAATCAACTATAGGACAGCAGTCAAATATTCTTTTTACATATATATATTATACACACACACACATATATATACACATATATATGTATATATATATGTGTATATATATATATATATATATATACACACACACACACATATAAGCTTGTATTTATAACTGGAGGATCATTGATAGTCCTCTTTAAATGGTTTGTTCTTTCAGACAAACTTAATAACCTCATGAAAATTATTTCATGTCCCAAAAGAGCTCCCGAGTCATCTAAAACACAGGTCACCTGAATTCTAAATTAAATGCTTTACCTTCCTTACTTTGATTTTCCCAGAAAATCAGAATGCTGAACTTCATGCGTCAGCTCAGTGATTTTACGAATCATCAATTCTTCATAGAGGCTGCCACATAAAATGCCTAAGTCTTTGCTGAAGTTTGAAGGGTTCCTGTCACCGAAAACTGCTTTCCTTCCCATAGAGTTCTATGAAGAAAATCTTTAGAAAGCAGTGAAGAACCACTAGAGGGCAGCAATAGCGCGTTGCTTTAAAACAACAGACTCTCCCTTTCCCGATACAAGGTATCCTTCAAAAACTTTTAAGCAAGGCAAAACTCATTACGGGTGTATTTCAAGATTACTCACACTGCAGAAAATATAATCATCATCTTACTTTATTTGAAAAACTATCAGTGTCACATCGTGTACAAGTTGTCTCCACACTAAATGACAGCTCCTCACTCAGTGGCCCCTTCTGCAGGACTCCCACATACTCTTAAACTGCATTTACCGCCGACAGCAAGTATTTGCAGGACTCTTGTCCTCCTAGATTACAGCTCCTGTGCCCACCTAGGGACTGGCACAAGGTACCACCAGCTTCCAGAACAGCCACTCAAAGGTGAAGGAGGAGGAGGAGGGAGAGAAGGATGCTTAACTTATAAAAAGACCAAAACTTCAGAAACAGCATTCACAGGTTTTGATAAAGCAGAAAAACACTTAATTTCAAAGACACACACAAAACCAGCCAGACATATGCACAAACGACAATCTTTTAAAAGCCTATCATAAAGGCCGGGAGGTTTAAAAAAAAAAAAAAAAAA